GACGATAATGAAATGTGCCCTATCTGCTGTGATGATGGACGGCATCTAATCAAAATACACGAGGGGGATGTGGCGCACAAGCTGTGCTTTATCTGCTGGCGGAAGGTGTAGGATGAGCCTCATCGCAAGTGCCCTTTCTGTTGGCAGGACTTGCCGACTTTCCACTCGTTCATGCACTGGTAACTATTGCTTTTGACCTTAAAAATTGTTCAACTAACTAAGCCTGGTGCCATGTGAACAACCTCCACTTTTGACCACTAACTTGAACCTTCCAAATGTAAACCACAGAAAAACATCCAACCCTTCTCCATATTGATCTAGTTTTACATTTGTTTAGTTCCTCTGACACAGACGAGGAGCCAAATGACGAGGATGACGATGAGGAGGCAGGAGACCAGATAGAGGTCGAGACAGTGGTGCCCTACTGTGACTCGGAATTGGAGTCGGAACCGGAGCAGCTGAAGAGTGTCTCCGACTTTGAACTGCTCTCGGGCAGTGACGAGGAGGAGAGCACTGCCTTGGCCCCTCTTGCGTTGTCCTACGTGCGGGGTCGCGGTCGCGGGCACGCTGTGGCCTGGGATGGCCGAATCGTCGACGACTCATCCAGTGATGACGACACTCGGCCCTATAATTGGGTATGCGGGTGGGAGCGCAGTCGCCGGGACTGCAAACCTGCGAGACGGGGCTCGAGCCCGAGGACGAGGCAGAACCTGTGGGACATCCCAGCCTGGGTTCGGACCCTCGTCCTATAAGTTCGAAATCTCAAATTATATTACTAAAATGGTGGATGACTAGTTTATTAGACAACTTTTTTTAATGCATATTCCGCCTTCGTCACATAGTCCAACCGCCGTTGTCACACAGTCAAATTACCAGTAAATTTCAAAATCTCAAGTCTCAGAACTTGTTACCAAAATATTTTATGACTAGTTTTTCAGAAAACTGTTTTCTTAGTGCAAATAATCGACTTAGTGAAATCAAAGAGAGTTCAACCGTTTTCCATGTGCTCAAACAGACTTCAATCAGAGATCAACCGTTTTCCAAGTATAATCCACACAGTCAGATTATCAGTAAGTTTCAAAAGCTCAAATCTCAAACAGATTACTAAAACAATTTATGACAATCTAACCAGCAAACTCACTTATAATCCACACAGTCAGATTATCAGAAAGTTTTAAAAGCTCAAATCTCAAATATATTCCTAAACAATTAATGACTAGTGAATTAGCAAACTGTCTTTTTTAGTGCAAACAATCGCCCCCAGTATTTTGGTGCTAAGCAAATGCCGTCACAAAGCCAGTCATCAGCCAAATGTCGTGTCACAGTATGCCTCATTTTTTGCCTAATTTAGTGCAATATGCCTCATAGTATCGGGCGCCTCATCATCATTTGCCGGTCACATAGTGATATCAGCCCACTTATCCGTAAAGAAGTCTATTACAAAACTTTAGTTAATTGGTCTTTTGTGCCAAAACTGCCTTCCAAGATTGTGCTTCCTACTGTGCTTCCTGACGTGAATACTTCTATATTGGTGCGCAAATCATTCAAATTGTTTAGTTTTTGTAGTTAGGGGAATTAAAATTCCCAAAAATTTCTTTTTGATTTGAGAAAATTGGCTCTACTGAAGCTAATTGTAATTGTTTTTCGGATCCACTCGTGTAATCTTAATTATGCGCCCAAATGATAAAAATGTCGGCGGTATAAATTAACCAAAGATAGATGCTTACACTCAAAACGGGTTCATGACGATCAAAATGTGGTGGTTTTCTCCTGTCTTAAAATTTATAGAAATGTATCGTCATTCCTCATTTTATTAACTCACTGTTCATACCTCCTTTTGCCTTCTATAATTATGTCAGAATTTGCCGCTCCAATATCAGAATTTCCTGGGGTTTCAATTGATCGCTTCAATGGTGAGAACCTCAAATCTACAGTTGATTTTCCTTCGCACTGTCATAGAGATCACACGGTGGGCCTTAATGAGCCTGAGCTTTTCGATAGGTTAAAACGCTATAACTTTAAAATTAACGTCATAAAGTTTCGGCTGCTTTGTTGAGTGCCTTGCCGCTTTATGTTTTTTAAATACATATATAATACATCTGGATTCAGATAGTGAGATAACATTGAATGTTTCATCGGAAGGGGACGAGACTCATACCCTAACTGTCACTTTTATTCCTGCAGGTCACTGTCCAGGTTCAGTTAAGTTCTTACTAGTTTCCAAAGAAAAATTTGTACTTTTTACTGGCAATTTCAGATGGCAAGTTGGTCAGACGAAGCGAATCAATCATCTTTTCGACAATTTACAAGTATGTGCTGTTCATAATTTTGATAATATTTACATCAACACAACGTTTTGCAAAACAGCTTCCAATTTCATACCTTGTAGGGACAGCTGTCTTTCAGATATCTTTCAAGCCGTGTCCGCATGGCTCTGTTCATTTCAAAATAATGGGGTCCATTTTTGTAGAAAAAAAAACTCGCTACTGTTATGAGTTTTTGATGAAAGAGCTCGCACGTAGATTCAACACTAAAGTTCACGTTTCATTATATTATTATCAACTGTACAAATTTGTTCCGTCAATTCAAAATTGGCTCACCTTAGATGGCAAAAACACCAAAAAAATTTTCTGCAAGCCGTCGTCTGCGTCTGCGAACTTAAAACTGCCTTGCAAGCCGGACATCCCAAGTCCAGAAATGCCTACAATCATTCCAACTGCAATGTTCTTCACTAAAAAAGAGATAATGCCTGGGAGATTGGTTAAAGCATTGTCTGAGAGAACCGTTCGGTGCTGTTATTCTTCGCACTCTTCAGCTGACGAAATAATTGGTTTCCTTTCAAGTCTCCAGTTCGAAAGTATTACATCCTTCGTTTGTGCGGATATTCCACTTGGCTTTGTGAAAGCTTTTATTTTAAATACGCTCAAACTTCAGAATCCAAACACGTCAAACGAGTACAAAAATGCGGAAAGAAAAAATTAAATTCAATAATAGAGGTAAACGCAAACTTCATCTAGAAAAAATTTCAACAAACACAGCAGACTACGAAAACCATAGTGAGCCATTGAGACAACACAGACGCCTTGTCGAAAGTGGAGATTTCGAGGAAAAGGATTCAGAAAGAACAGAAAAATTGATTCAATTGCTCAACAATATTCAAAAACAATATTTTACTTTTCGTACTGTGTTTTTTAGTTACCGCTTGTTTAAGATTTCTTTTTCAGTTTTAATTAAACGAGGATACAATTTTAATAGAATCGAGCTGTCCTCTATCTCGTCTCAAATACTGAACCATCTCATCTCAAATACTCGTCTCAAATACTGAACCATCTCATCTCAAATACCGATGAGTGCGATGATAAGTTCTGAACCAACTGAACCATCTCATCTCAAATACTGATGAGTGACTTAACTGCCCCTATTTCAAACATGAACTGCCATTTCAAACCCTGAAAAGCAATTTCAAACCCATTTCAAACCAAAACGAAAGATTTGAAATCCGCATAATTTAACCAATGTTTTAAGATTCGTTTGTGGATTCCGCTGACAAATGGATAAGTCCTTTTGCTTTTCAAACTGCGCGTTCCTATAGATAAAAAATCTAATATTCCACCTCTAGTTTTTAATTGTTCATATGCAAGTTCAGTAAGAAACAAAAATGCGGAACCCACTTACAATAAGCGGAATCCACTTACACTTGCGGATTCCACTTACATTTTGCGGAATCCACTTACAGTTGGGGAATCCAGAACAACTAGCTATATTTGCTTGTTGCGGAATCCGCAACAAAACAATTGTGCCGACAAAACTTACGTTACAGGTATATGTATGCGGAATCCACTGAAATTTTGTTTGTAGAATCCACTTACACTTAGGAAAACATTTTAGGACTTATCTCTGGAATCCAGGAACATACAGACACAAAATTGTGCTACTATCCAGTTTGGCCTCGTAATGAACTAATATCTTTTCTACTTTTCTGTAAGCAAGTCCGAAAAATGCTTCTGCAGTTCCATCATTTGTATTTGAAAGTTGTTAAGTTTTTCGGTTATTTAAAATTTTTGTAAATCAGTTTGGTCGTAACAGTCTGTGCTACTTGCACACCAACCGGCTATATTTGCAAAACCAGTCGACAAAAATAAAGCTTTCTTAATCGATCACAGACAAATTTCGGTTTTTGAAATAAGAGTTTTCGATAGAAAACTACAGACTACCTCAAACATAGCGATGCCATGAGCTCGATTTGAAAAAATTAAATTACTGAGACTCTTTTTTTTTGTTGTGACTGCACGAGCTGGCTGTTTTAATGGACTATTAAGACATCAAATAAGGTCATAAGTTGCTCATTTGTTCTTAGTTATTGGATTTGTGTATAATTTTGCTACATCAAGACCCAATCCAACCAAATAAGGCGCTGACAATTTGGTTGAAACCATTATAAAAAAATCAATCCAAACGTAATTTCAAACCATTGAAAGTAATGTAAAAAAGTTCAGTTTTTTGAATTTCAGAAAAATGACAAAAAGTTTGTTTTCAATGTGGTTTATTCTCCTGACTGAGCTGAACTCTCGCAGGGGCGGATCTAGAATTTAATTAGGTCCTAATTATCTCTTTTTAGGTCGACCAAATTGATTTTCTGCGCTTTACCAAATCACTATAAAGACCCTATTTTGATCAAATGTTCTGCGCCGACGATTTTGAAAAAAGGCCAAAAAAGGCGTTTTTAGGCACTTTTTGAAAACTTTTGAGGAAAAAAAATCTTTATTTTTGTGCTGCGTGATCCCCTCTCAAAAGGGCCTTTTTTGAAGGCGCCTTCAGAAAAATTTTAAGGCCAGCTAAAAATGAATATCTCAAAATAGTACAGAGGGGGGTCCTTTGGGTCGGCATGGGGTCTAATCCCTGAGGAAAGGGCGTCTCCCCCAGCCCGCCCCTGAGCTCTCGAAATAATAGTGTTGAAACTTTTTTGTAAAATTTTATTTAACCCAAATTTTGCTGCGTTGCTAGTCGTGAAATCTATTTGATTTTCGAACTGAAATGTAAAGGCTTTCAAAACATTCAGAATTATTGGCTGGGTGCCACTATTTTTGTGTGTTTCGTTAAATGAGCTCTGACCTCTTCTATAGTGAACTAAATACTAATTGGATACTGTCCAAAAGTACTTGAAAAATTTTAAGAAATATGGCGTCACTCATATCACCTGCGGCTCCTCCTCCTCCTCCTCCTTCCGCTTCAATCTGGGCTGCCCTGGCTTTGGCTTGTTTCTTCACTGTGACCCAGATGTTACAGTAGGACACACCCATCACCACACAGGTCGCCGAACCCACCAGGAAGTGGGTCACGTACATGTAGGCTTTACTGCCCGTTTCCACGCCTAAAATTCCTATCTATTTCATATATTCATATCAGTACACATTTAATGTTATAACTTGTGTTTTTAGTTGGATCATTTTGACTTTCGGTTCTTAAACAGATACCTGCCAATTGTGTGTCTATTCGAAATCCATCGGATTTCGTGACGCTTTGCAAGCTAAAAGGAACAGATACGGTTTTATTTCAATTATATATATATAATTACAATAAGTATATGTTTTTTTTTATAAAACTCTACTTATTTAAACTCTACTTATTTAAAACTATTTATCACAGTGTTATTAACAATCTTTATTATTTTGCAGTCAACTGATTCGAGCCTGCGGAGAGTTTTTGCTTTGAGAGTTTTGTTTCTCCTCTGTCCAAGAGAGACCAAAAATTAAGAACCGATGCGAACATACGAGATTGCAGAAGAGAAGAGAATTACAAAGGAGAAATGGAAATGAAGAGGCATGAAAAGACCGATACCTTGCAGACAAAAAAATAAATCCATCTTATATATGGCCCTGGGCTTTGAAAGCGGAACATTGTTTTTCCAAAAAAAAACCTGGTGAAAAGTACTCTCAGTCTAATTTGAAGAAATTTTCGACCTTTTGGCATCCGCATTTTTTAAACGGTCGAATATCACCTGCAAGCTTTACAACTTGCTAGGCCGCAAGCAAAAAAGTGTGTGAACCGTATTGCGAGCGCTTTCAAATTTAACCAAAAATAGACATAGAAGAATCATCTGAACTAGATTGGATACGCGACATCTTCAGTTTAAATATAGAGAAATTTTGATCTCCAACGGAGACTTCTGTCAGAAACACTGATACTAGCAGACACTCTAAATTAAGCTATAATTAGCAAAAAGGGACATTTTAAACTTACGAACATAGCGCAATCGAGTACAAATTGTAAAGTGCAAAACTTAGTTTGTGAAAAAAAAGAAAAACTAGCTGGAACACAAATAAGACAAACTCCTTCATGAAATTTGGAAATGGTTATCAAAGGTCAACTGAAGGCATAGTCGGCGAAAATTATTGTGTATGACGCCTGGAAACGAAAAAGAGTTTTAAGAAGATTGTGTATGTTGAAATCAAACAAATGGACTGTAAGTACTTAAGAAGAGGTGAAAAAACTCAGAACTGTTCAAATATTACATCGGAACGAAAGACTGAAGATGCAGAAAACTTTGAAGGAGTAAAAAATCTCTGACGAGGACGGACGGGAAACGAAAAACAACCAAAATATTTTAAATTGGGAAACGATGCAACTGTAAATAAGAAATGAACAATTGGAACAAAGATAGTTTTGTTTGCTCAATTTTATAATAAGAAAAAAGAACGGGTCGCACAATTTAACTTTAGATTTGACACAGGTAAATGGTTCTGTGAGAGTTATTGAAAAATCCGAAGCATCCATGAATCAATCAATAACTTCGCCCTTCAACTCTCAAACGTAAAATGAGAGACGTATGGTTTAATAGTTTCAATCTGACAAACGCTCACAATCAAACAAATTAATGCAAAAAAGCAAGTAAAAAAAAGTAATTTTAGCATAGTAGGAGGCAAAATTTTTGTCAAAAACCATTTTTTTACAGATTTTTCTCGAACAAGTTTTAGTTGTCTCAAAAAGATCACTTGACGAAATACGGCAGTTTTTTTGAAAAAAACTAGAAGTCGTAAAAAATAAGCACACGATGGTAAATTGAGAAAAAATTGCGTTTCTCCAAAAGAAGTTGAATGGTTGTGATTTGAAATCTCAGAAAACGGAGTAAAGTTTATGATTCAAAAGGCAGATGTCATGAGTAACTTCCCTAACCAGGAAAAAAACATCTCAGAAATACGACTTATTTTCTGTTCAAAGAATAATTTCATAATATACGTCCCAAAACTATCATCCTTCTTTTCCCATTAAACCCGTTCCTGAACAAAAAGTCTTTGTGTCATTGAAATGAATCTCAATCAAAAAAAATTTGATTTCTAAATTTCCTTGAAACAAGTCATTTTGACATGAAAATAATATGAAGGTGAAAGACCGCCGCTTAAATAAAGGACTAGGAGTTACGCTTGAGCGGTGAGACGACGCGTCGCGGATCACTATCATATCCTCTTCTATAATTTCAAACACCAAAAAATGACTTTTTCTGCAATTGAACTAGAACTCCTAGGGGCTGTGTGGGCAACGAAAAAAAAAATCTTTATGACTCGGGATTTGAATTAAAAAGAAGACCATCAACCTCTTTGAACGGAGTTTAACGCCAAATACCCGAAGAAAAAAACCATGCACAGTAGGTTGACCGGTGAGTTTTTAAATTAACTCCCTTCACTTTTGAAATGCGTCACGAAAAATTGGACTTTTTGTTATACTTTGAAGAATTTCTTTATTTCAAGATTTGACAACAAATTTGTACTTGCAACAATCAAAAAGATTGCCGAATATCCACTTATGAATGAAGTTTGTAAGAAAAAAGAACTAGAACCACAACGAGTTGCACATAGAAAACTTATCGGACGCAAAAAAGTGCACAGTAAATTAATCATTTTGATGTTATACACCTGTCAAACAGAAATTATAAAAAACTAGTAAAAACTCGCCTGTCGCTTTTTGCAATTAATTTTATGTACATTCCTGACAAAATTCGAACTTCTTACTCAAAAATTTCTCGCTCAGAATTCTGCACAAGCTGTTGCATTCTGCACAAGTCTTCGCAGAGTTCTGCACAAGCCGTCGCATTTAGATCTGAAAAAATTTAATTTTAGTAGAAATGTTTTATCTGATAAGTGTTATATTCTCTTTTTTTCCGCATTTTTTTTCTAAAATGTACCTAGATATGAACCCATTTGAAAAAAAGATACTTAATACCTGTCAATTTGTTTCTAACACTCAAATATGGTATAAGCTCTGAAAAAATTGAACTGAATCAAAAATTTATGACAATAAGAGGTCAAAAGGAACCAAAAAATAGTCAACAACTTCAAAGCAGATTGAAAATGACCATCTTCCCCAATTTTGTTTACAAACCGCTGCTCGAATGAAGTAAGTTAATTGCCAACGCTTAAAAAAACTGAAATGAAAAAATCTGAAAACGTAAACTGCAGTGAAAAATGGAAAACAAATAGTTAATTTACAGGATTACATGAAATCTTTCCGACAAGATCTACACAGAGAAGATTGACAGCTTCAATGACAAAAATCTAGTGGTACCAGCAGCCCTTCATTCTTCCTTCTTGGCTCTACACCACTGGACACACCCGGAACATTTTGGGATGAACGAGATAGCGGAAAATATCGGTTGTACACATACACATTTTCAATTTAATTTGCAATTCAATTCACACTAGCTCGTAAGTTTGCACAACAGTTATCACCTTTCGGTTCTTCCAAAAAATATTTTTCTTAACCGACAAGTGTAAAACTAATCTATGTTTTTCATCTTCAATTTCACTAAAAAACACGCAAACAGTTTTACGGACAAAACCGAGCAAACATTTTCTTCCAAATAAACTCCAATTCTGAAAAATCACAAACCAGGGGTCGCAAAAAAATTTATAAAAAACAAAATAACCCAATTCTACCAACAAATAAATACAAATAAGGAGCCAAAATAAATTTACTGACGTCACCAACAGCCTCATTTACTGCCCTCTGATCGCAAAAAGTGATAAACATGATGACAAGCGACGACAAGATCTTGAAGGAATTAGAAAACCGGAAGTGTGGGGAAAGTCGCTAGACAAATTGGGGTCATATATCAAGACGTTCCAGCGGGATATGCACACAGTTGATTGATTGCTGTTCAAGGACAACAAACTTGTTGTAACCGATGCCCTTCAATCCCCATTCAATGTCCTTCTTCACGAGACATATTCACGACCTTTTGGCACGTAGTCTATCGCAAAAACGTTTTAGTGGTCTCATCTATAGAAGGAGTTATACCACCACGGTGTGCAATTAAGATGGTGAGAATCTGATCGTATTCTGTGAGACTTTAAGTACGCAGATTTCGACAGAAACTAAGAAAGCAAATAAAAAGACTAGTTTTGATTTTGCGGGCCCGCCCAAAAAAACAGAACGGAATCAATCACATTTTGTGTTGTTTTAATCTATTTTCAAAAGTTTTTTTTACCGAATATGTTGAATAAAACGTCGAAACAAGCTCCTTCACTTTTGAAAAAACACTATTGTATTGTTCACGGATTTGCACAATCGATTAGAATGGACTACTGTTCGTGTTTTTATCTTAAGTAAAAGATTTCAAATATTTCTGCGAGAACAACATTGATAATCTAATTTATGTACAGTGGTGGATCATAGATTCATTGGAGTGGTAAGTTGACCTATTTACACAGTAAAAGCTAAATTAATATCAACGTCTTTTAGCAAAATTAATCGTTTTTGAACTCATCAACAGGATTACTTAGAAACTTAATCAACAGGATTTCTTAGAAATTTTGATATCCAAAACAGCTGTCGATGGGATGCACATTGCGCAAAAAGCGATAAGCAGACCACTCCACACCTATTGGAAAAACCTAGTTGATATAGATAAATTGGGTACTCACACCCAATTGATATAGATAAAAGGAAGTCAATCATGTCAACCGCATGAGCACAAGACTGGGCGGAAAATTACCAAACTGAAAACGATACTGATCTCACAGTAACTTTCGATAATAGACACGTTTTCCAGAAATCGGATTCAGCCTTGAGCCGAAAAAATCGCGACCACGATAAAATTTGACAGTAAAAATGAAGCAATGGTTGATAAGTATAGTTTAGCAGGCAAGTCGAAAAAAAACTCGCCTAAAGAAGACAGGACTCTGGGCTTGCGGGATCCTCCAACTGCGAAGGTTTGAAAAAAATACAATTGCCAAAAAAGAGGAGGACTAGATAGCATATCTTGACTAAAAGCTATCTCAGCTACCCATTAGGCGTGTCATTTTCATTAGACTTCATTCGGACAATGGGATAAGGTTTCATGCGAGTAAAGTGCAGTGGGTTTGGTTTATTGGGTAC